AAGGAGGTCCATTAAATGACGACGAACGACATGACTTGCGTTGGAATTCCTAAAGCGATACGAGGACCTTCGGAATTTGCGACACGAAAAAGTTTGAAATTCAGACGAAGGATATCTACAACCACCATAACAGGGCTTCCATACTAACACTGACATTTTTCTCATTTTGTTGCAGAAATAAAAGAAAATGATAATTAGATTAACTTTGTTACCGGTAGACTAGAAAACAAACCACAATCTGATGTCCAGATTTGAGAGCAATTTTCAACCGCACTCTGTCTAAGCGTCTTAGTGATTCCCTGAATTGGTTTTCGTTACCAGTTCAGTTTTACTTAGAAAACGAATTTTCTTCGTTTAGCTCATAATAGTCTAAAATTTTCGTGGGAAGAAAAAGCCTTCTAAATTTATCGGATTTAACAACTTTTAGAAACATCAAGCTGGGAAAAACATTTTCTTCAGGAAATCGCAGCGCAACCTTCGCGGATGTGGACTCCAACTTGACCCTGCCGAAACTTTTGTTCAATACTGAATCGGCAGATGCAAAAGCTGCTGTGACTAATAAATTTCCCGCATAAATCTCACAAAAGCTAATCGCTTTAGAGATTTTTACTCTAGCTGAGTTTAATGACTGTATATTTCATCTATGCAATCAGTATTTTTTCCCTTAATTCTACCATGTTTCCTCATGGACAGATTAAGGCGGCCTTGGAACATAATCGCGCAGGAGCTCCCAACTCCTTTAAGTGAGATTGCGTCAGGCTGGTTATTTAGCTGATATTTCAAATGAAAAATGCAAACGCCTTTGAAGAATTTCATGACGCTGGTATTGCGTGAAAATCTGACAAAGGAATAAGGTTGGGTTATGATAAAGGCGAAAATGTATAAGGGAATGCAGACAAATTTAGTATGGCAACATGGAGACTAACGAGTGGGCTCGCCACCTTGCACAAACGACCGTTCTGCTTCCGGTTGCCATTAAACTGCAACGAATCATATAAAATAACGTTCATCACCGTGCGGTGCTCCTGCTGGAAAGTTCCCAGGAGAACCCAGCCGAAGCATTGTGATCCATTTTGGAGGAATTTTGTTGTTGCATATTTTTTCTTTAGCTTACCTTCCCTTTTAGCTACATCTGTTTCGTTATACAATTGACAGGCTATGCAAAATAAAATTCTTAGCTATGCTCGAGCAGAAAACAGTGAACAGGCGAACAGAAAAGTTGCTATGGGAAGAAACAATTGAAAATATACAAAGTGCACCAACGAAGGATTAACAAAGAGAATGCAACCTTTAGCCGTGTTTTT